TTTTTTGTCAGATTCTTGTAAGATTTTTCGACCTGAGTAATATTATTCCGGGAATTTAAACTCGGATCTATGTTTTACATATTTAAATGTAGAACTGATATTCTATCTCAAAGCAACACTTTTTATCGAGATCACGTAACAAAATCGATGTTTATATAGATCATTAGTTGAGATAGAATCATAATAATATATAGTTTCATGTATGATAAAAAATAATGAGCCAGAATCACTTCATATATCCTTACGTTAGATTTCCTTGTAGGATTATTTAATTATACCTAAAAGAAGAAAGTGATTTGTAAGAATTATTATCTTATGTAAGACTAACATGTTAGTCTTTTTTTACACAGAATCAATCTATGAATAATAACCTGATAATAATCTCAGTTACTTTTAATAAAAAGATTCTCACAGCAAAACGATCATGACTCGTTTTGTTGAAAGTTTCATATTCGATAATGTAAATTATTATTATATAAATACACAAAAAAAGAACAAAGCTTGATGTATATCATGTTTAATCTTTCTTCTCTTATTTCATAGAATGATGGTTTCTTCTCAAATATCATTTCATCATCCGATGAAGATCAACAAAATGAACGTGACATATCAATAAAGAAAAAACTTTTAACTTCTTCTTCTACTTCAACATTACTCGATCGTATTAATAAACTTCGTATAAATACGAATATAACTTCTGACACGTATTCATATGATCAAACTTCAGAAATTTATGATAAACGTATGGCAATTATACAAAAAATGCAACAAACTAATGATACGATTGTTGAAATGAATGAAAAAAAACAAAAATTCCTTAAAAAATCACCAGTAAAAAAATAGAGACATTGATTTTATATATTTTTGTACATGTTCGTTATTAAATTCATAATAAAAAGCCAAAAAAAAAACATTTGAATACGCAAATCGTCTAGTGATTACAGTCAATATACATAGATATTCTTTATATAATTGATATAAATATAATGTTTCTTCAAGAAAAGTATAGTTCGTTGTTCTCTTTCCATTTTCTTTTTTTTTGTTTGTCTCTTGTGAATAGACTTCAGTGAGTACAGAAAAAAAAAATATCCGTGAATATGGCAGAACGATGTTTAGAGTAAAAGAAGGGTTAGCACACAGAACATTTTACAGGAATATGTGAGCTTTTCTTTTCCTTCTCATTTTTTTTTATATGTCTGACTTGTTTGGCATTCGTCGTCAACAACAGAAGCACCGTCGTCACTACTCTTGTTGTGTTGTTGTTTTTATTCTGACTACAACTGAATAATACTGTTCTGTATACATATGTATAGTATAAATCATTTGTTGATATACAATGAACAATCATATGTATATATAGATCGATAAGTATATATAGAAATAGATGACCTCGGCCTTTCATTAATCATTCTAACCTTTGTATTTATTTTATATGAATCTGAATACTTTTCTAACGTTCTTAAAATCAACATCCGGAAAGACTTTTTTTTATTAGTAATCTTGATTACCTTTGAAAAAGATAAATTTTATAGAATAAATAATGTTTATATTATTATTATTATTATGAAGGATAATCATTAAGAAAAAAAAAGGATGTATTTATATATAACTAACGATGTCTTTACTTCGTTTTTCTAAGTGATATCTAATACCCTAGAAATTGCGTATTTATCAAGTCTATATTCTAGACATAATTTGATTAGTGAATAGATTTAATTAAAACTGATAATTCACATAAAATCTTCGATTTTTATTTTATTTATTAACACAATCTAGATATTACGTCTTTAGATATATATATCATTTGAGTAGCTATCATAAAATGTGTAGTAATATTTTTTATCGATAAAAATAATTCTTTATTAAAGTTTAAATTATACTAAATATATGCTTTATATATATATATATTCATTATTTGTTTAAGATAGTATTCTTCTATAAAAACAGTCATGTTGATCAAACTGATCAAAAGATATTCATCCATTCTGTGTCTTACATTGCTCCATATTTAGTGTATTTGTAGTAGCATTGTCTTTCTCTCTCTTCTCTTTCTCAACTAATGTGTCCTGTTCTTCGAGTCGACTTGCGATTTTCACATTTTTTTCTCGTCCCATCCTCATCTCTTTGCATGATTTTCATATGTTGTATGCGTGCGTGAGAGAGCGGTTGTGCGAGTGTCTGCAGTCGTCTATTTGCACAATTGCGCTTGCTCGTTCTTATGGGCAATGTGTTCATATTCGTTTTGTCATTGAAAAATGAGAGAAGAGAGAAAAAAGAGAAAAATAAAGATGCAAAACGACACAAAGTATAGTTGTTGATTTTTTTATTTCTTCTTTTTTTTTTTCTTAATGCGCTTATATGTTCTCGTTTTTTAATGAAGAAAGAAACCAGAAATATAACAAGTATGTGATATCAATATAAAACCATCACTATTGTTATCGATATAAAAATAAAAAGGGAAAAGTAGAATAGAATGATGACTTGTTTATTTGTTTACAAATAGAACGCTATATAACTGCCTACTCTTAATGACATTCTCAGCCAAAAAAAATGGCAAAGAAGAATAGAGGGAGATGAAAAATAGAATATGCTTGACTCGCTGTTATAATGTGTATGTTGTTTGGGGAAGGTTAGTTAAAGCATAAATGTATAGTTCTTTCTCTATCGTAATGTGTGTCGACGTCTCTTTTTCCTTCTTTTTTTTTTCTTCTTTATTACGAGCGTCCATGTCTGTCTTCACTAGTTCGATGAATGATGATTACATTCGTTATATATCTTTAGTTGAGCTAGAGACAATCTGAACATTGAACTTTTCTCGTTATTGTTCATTATACATTTGCTATGAATGAAAAGTTTAAAATTTGCCTTTTTTTTTTTCTTTCAAAATAATTGTAAATGAATGAATGATTGAAAGATCTGTCATTGCACAAGTATTTTGTTAAAATGAGATTTTATAATATGCTGAATAACAATAATGACGATAAA